TCCCTTAAAGGAGCCCTTAAAGGAGTCCATAAAAGGAGCCCTTAAAGGATCCCTTCAGGACTTTTCATGAGCCCTAAATCTTCCCCTCGGCCTCTCCCCAGGCGTCCGCGCACCGCAGCGCGCTGGGCTCGGCGTCCGGCTCCTGGCAGGCGGAGTCCTACGGTTGATGATATAAATCCTGCATTACCCATAATACGGAATATACCATAATTCCCATAGTTTAGGGTCCTTAAGGTTTTTTGCAGGTTGTATATCATCAACAGTATTGTAGATCCCTTATAGAACCCACTAAAGGAACCCTATTCTTACTTAATTAGAGTAGGATTCCTTTAAGGGCTTATTCACAAAAAGGCAGCGTATCCTAAAAAATACCAATGGCAATCAGCGTAGCGATGCAGTTTGTTCTTGACAACAGTAACCAGTAATCAATAATAGTAGTAATACCAGTGCTTTGCTGATTATTGAGCTTAAGAGTCCAAAGCAGGGTGGGCTAAGGACTGGCTCTGTAGGGTATTAAACTTTGTTCATGCTTAAACAGCAAGTGTCGCTATCTACGGGATCTTCAAGCCTGTCTTCAGCTTTTCAGAACCAGTGGTCCTTTGAGTCGTGAAGGTGTCAGGATTTCGGGTTTCAGGGGTTTGGGCCTGGGGTCTCCGAATTTCAGTGTTGAGTATTCCCACCTCTATGTGGGAGTTTCTGAAAGTTCGGGGTACCTTAATTTGGGATCCTTATAATGAGGATTCTACTATTTGGGGTACTATGTTAGGGCCCCCTATTTTCGGAACCCCCCCCATATTACACCTGCATGCTCCTGGCTTTGGAATTGGAGGATACTTTTGCCACCTTCTGGCTGCGAGCGTAGCCCCAACACCCTGAGTCTCGAATCACAAATCTCTGATCAATCCCCGAAACCCCTCAATGAACCCTGAATGACCCTGAACCCTGAGCCCGAACACCACAGAATCCTTCTCAATTCGGCTGCTTCTGCTAGTCACAGCCCGCAAAGCCAAGCTACATCCTGTCAATTTCGAGGCCTGAGTAATTCGACTGAGGCTTGCGATGCGCATTAGTATTCTACGACAACTATATCAAGGAGCCATGAGGAAGGAATTTTGGGCAATTGTTAATGATAGTCTTCCACAGGGGCCTTTAATCACATGTAAATTTACCTCAACGTCAACGTACTATGATATTCGTAATCACTCCGACTTCTATACCAAAACCCGATAACCCCTCATAGAAACCCTGACAGGAACCCTACTTATCAACTCAACCTCCACACCGAAACCCTGTAAAAAAAAGATGAAACCTTATAAACCCTGCAACCTATAAGACCTACACGCCCAAAACAGCCCTAAAAGCACCAAACCCCAAACCCTATAAAGGCATCCTTACATATGGGTGGTTGTCAAAATTCTGGTCCCTTTTCGGGTACCCTGAATATTAGGTGCCGCACTATATCAAGGACCCTAAAGGGACCCTGATTTTGACAACCACCCATATGGGAGTTTCCGAAAATAGGGGATCCTAATATAGTACCCTAAAAAGTAGGATCCTTGTTATAAGGTAATTTTCGGAAACCCCAAACCCTAAGCCCTTACCCCTTGATAGAACCCGTATACTACCCTTAGAGTAACCCTTTAAAGGCACCCCGCGGTACCCCTAATTTTCGGAAACTCCCATATATATGGCCACCGATCAGAGCCTCCAACATCTCCCTCCGCCACCTCTCCCACTCTTGCTCCTGCGGTTTCGGGCTTCTCAGGGTTTGGGGTTTAGGGTGTAGTGTTTAGGGTTTCGGGTGTAGGGTTTAGGGTTCATGGGTTTAGGGTGTAGGGTTTAAGGTTTTCGGGCTTATCAGGGCTTGAGGATTAGGGTTTAGGGTTTTCGGGCTTATCAGGGTTTGAGGTTTATGGGGCGCAGTATGTTGGATGCGATTCCAGAGGCTATAGGGCGTAAGGCTTTCGGGATTTATGGAAGTTGCGATTCGCTTCGAGGGTTGAGGGTTGAAAGCTTGGTGGGAATTCAAGTCTGAAGGTGGCTTAGGGTTTGGTAGGTCGAAGGTCTAGTGGAGAGGTTAGTCGTGTCTGTGTGTCTGTGTGTTTAGCCCTTCGTTGGATCTAGGGTTTGCCGGAATAGGGTTTACAGCGCTGAGGGCGGCTGGGGCTTGAGGTTGCGATCTTTGTATGTATGTCGTTCCTGGCATTGGTGGGTCAGGCTACAGTCCAAGCAACCGGACTGTAAGAGTTCAGCTTCATGCTTTCATGCTCGCTTTCAAAGCTTTGTCGATTGTTTGCTTACATGTGGAGACATGTTCGTCATACTCGGAGTTCATTAGCTCATAAAACAAATCCTGTGGCTGTTCGTTACTGGAAGCACTTTTCTCGAAGCTACAAATGGACTTCGTTTAGCATTGACAACTCGTCATGACTGACCGCGAATTTCAACCCAGACATGAAGCAGAACCTGACAAGACTCAGATGCTATGCAAGCGCTTTTGGTGCCCCTCAGTGGTCACAACCGTAGCCAAACAGACGTCAAACCTACACTTTTGTCTTGGCGGCTCGAAATTGAGCATATTGTTCTGAAGCGGAAGTTCAGCATGAAGAGTTTGCTGTGTGTCTTTGAATGTGAAATGTGCCTTCGGAGTTCAATTTTACCTTTCAGCGTCTTGGGCTTGGCATCGAAGAAGCAATCTTATGGTGGCAGGAAGCACTTTCTTTTTGGTACAGGCAAGTTCTCCTTCCCCCATATTCGCTTGGTGGAAGGAGCGGGAGGGAACTGTGCTCAGCCTACATTGAGTCCGTGCCGGTGGGAAGGTCTCCAGCGCAGCGTCTGCATCCAGAACTTTCTGCAGCCTGTAACCTCCAAACATAACGCCCCAAGCCGCGAAGCGGAAACCTTCTCCCTGAACCCTACCGCCTACATTCAAACCAAGGCACTCAAACCAACAATGCAAGCATCAAGCATTCAATACTGAAAATTCTCTTGGGGCCAAGTAATGCACGGTCCAGCGAACTTACGGCCAAAGGCGTCAAGCAATTATGCCGGTCAATGCTTGAACAAGCTTTCAGTGCGAATTAAAGAGTTAAGCTGCCAAGCGCATACAAATGCTCGCTTTTGCAAAACGCTCATACACCACTATGTAAACCGTTGTACCTCCCCTTTAATGCCCTCTAGAATCACCTATGAAACCCTTAACAACACCCTTGTAAAAAAAAACACAGCTTAAGACAACACCCGCAAGCACGGCGCAGTGAACCCTCGGCCACACAACGCAGCCACACGGACTCATTCGAAGGGCTCCGGCATACCCCAAAGATTCCAAGAAGAAAGGAACAGTTCATGGTTCTAGGGTTTAGGCTCAGGGCTTCCGGGTGCTAGGGTCTTTGGGTTTGGGATAATTAGTGTCAATAGAGTTAAGGATGCGCTTGGTGCGGGGGGTCTTGCGAATCTTCCTCTATGAGCCTAGCATGAAGGGCCCTTTTTACAAGCTCCACCTACTGTAGGAATTAAGAAACCTTGGGCCTTATCAGGGTTCCTTACTAACACGAATCCTAATATTTTGGGGTTTTAGAACCAGGGTTTCTTAACCAGGTTCCTGCATTACCCCAGTCGGAGTGCAAAAGACGCCTCGTAGAGTTTCCCTGTTGGGGCCTGGGCCGGGTTGACGGCCGCCTGGGGCCTGGAACTCGAACCTACCAGCAACCCTCACCTATACTGAACTGAGAACCCTAGCAATTTTTGTTAATTTTAGCTGTTTCTTAGGGGTTATAATAACCAAAAACTAAAACATATTTCTAAGTACCCCTAAGTCCAAAAGACACCCTATCACTCGTTAGGGCATATAGCCCCTGCGACCCTTGATTCTAGAACCCTAAACCCCATAATACGTTAGGCGATCGGAACCCGGGACCATAAACCCTCTTAGTAGGCTATGGGTCGCCGGGTATGCTCTTTGCTGTTTGGAACCCCCAGGGTACGAGAAAGTCATGGTCAGCCATGCACTTGCAAGCCGCCCCCTCGCATCCATCATGAAAAATGAATGAAAAATGATGTCTCTCTATTGTTGAGGGTTTACATCTGTATGTGCACGTATACGTAGATCTACTTAATAGTTTATTCAGCCACATGCTACAATAACTATGTAAATGTTGATGGTATGGCGTTGTTCTATTTATGTTCTCTCTGTGTTTTACAACAGGACCTAGAGTTGTCATTCTAAACAGTCAACAGGTCTCTTCAGAGGGGTCAGGCTTTGGAGTGGGTTGTTAGCATGTCTGGCTTATGGGATGTGTTGAGTTTCCGAAATCGGGATCGAGAATTTCAGGTTGCAACAATCCTCAGACAATACGCCTCAAGCCTGACTCTTCATTCCTAAACCCCTATAGCATCATATGCTTCCAGAAGATTTCGGAAGCTACACGCGACCCCAAACCGACTGGGATAAAGGGCATTGAGGTAGTGCTTCCATGTCTCTGCGGCACTTCAACCAGGTGTGAGATGATAGTCAGAAAGATCGATAGATAGATTGATTGACAGAGAGCAAGATCGATCGATAGATTCATGGATAAGTACATGGGGAGACAGGTAGATAGATCGATTGGTAGATAGATCCATAGCTAGACTGGCAGATAGTCGAATCGACCGGTAGCCAAAGAGGTCGATGAAAAGGACGGTAGATAGCTAGACGGTTCGGCCCAGGTGTAAAGAAACCAAGGGGACCCCATATAGGGGGGGTACCCATAAATATAAACATATACAGATAGATCCGGGAAGGAGGCCAGGCGATGAATTCTGACATTGAAAAGCAGATGACATGTGCATCTTCTGTCAAGTTCATAACAGGCTGGATGTCTAGCTTTCCCCACTTGCTCAGTTTTAGCCAGGGTTTGGGTTGAGGGACCTCAACTATTTCCAACTGCATCCGAGGCAACTGGGCTTCCAGGTTTGGCAGGCGAGACTGAGAAAGCAGGGTCGACAGACCTCCCTATGCGGTCTCATGCGCAATGATGGGGAGCGACGAAGCTGCGGGAACACGTCGGGCAGCGGCAGTTGGAGGAAACCTGGCAGAACGGGATACACATGTCACACCAACCCTAAACCCTAATTACACCCTATATGGGCATATTGAACCTGATTTTGTCAGAGACTTCCGGGGCCATGTGTGTGGTTTGCCCATACACCCGAAACTCGATTAGTTTCAGAAGTGGCCCTGAACTGCACCGACCCCCAGCAATCGTCGGTGTGAGCATTGATCGATCTTTAGCGGCCCACAGGGCTTTAGGGTTTAGGGTCTGGGGTTCAGGTTTTAGGGTTTAGGGCTTTAGGGTTTAGGGTTTTGATGGGTTTTGGTTTTAGGGCTAGGGCTCTGTTGTTTACGTACCTCTCAAGGCTCCGGGGACATTCGACTGGCCCACTTGGCTCCTGTATTGGAGGCTAACGGCTAGCCTGCGACCTGCGAAAAGAGTCATGGGAATTGCGAGACTTGCGGTTCGTACACATCACCAGAAGCTAGTCTGAACCATCCAGTACTGGCAAACCAATCTGTGAGGATCTCAATCCGCTGCACCCACCCCCACACCACATCGAGCCTTAATAAGCAAAAGGAGCTGGAACTTTAGTTGCGCTTGTGACCCTCCTTCCGACCGCTCTGAGATCGTGTGCAGGGTTTGTCAGGAACCTCCCAAAACAAACTGCGAGGGACAGACCCGACAACACCAAGGGCACTGAAAAAACACGAGCTTATGTAGCACTTTGGGGTAAAGCACCAGTAAGATTGTATACGGACTACTCGGGGATATTGTGGACTCCTCCGACCTCCGTTTTTTGCCTTGAAACTGATACACGAAACTCGTTTCGCTACTCTCTTCGGTGCCGGGTTTAGAGTTTTGGTTCGGGGTTAGAGCTTTGTCTTCAGGGTTCAGAATACTTGTCGCGGAACCCTTTCACCCTATCATCCGCACCGTCAGCGCTCATCTAGCCAGAGCTCCCGAACTACAAAATCCTAAACTTCACCATCCAAACTACCTAATAACAACGTATTCGGGATTACCATCGTAGACATTGTAGGCTTGTGTCTTGAGGGATTCGGGCTTAATTAGCATAGTAGATAGTGTAGGTTCGTACTTTGAGGAGGGCAGAAGGATGAGATCCTTTCAGGCAAGCCACCTGGCAGACCGACCAAGCCGCCACACACTCTTGATGAAAGATGTGACCGCAGGGTAAGATTGCTACCTGGCAGCTCGCATCGGGCTATACCTGTATACATACACGCACATATACACACATATTCTATACATCTAGATGTTTATGTAAAAGTATGTACGTGTATATAGGTATAAGAAGAAGCACACGTATAAGCTTAAGTATAAGTACAAGTATAAGTATAAGCATAATTACACACATATAAGTATTAGGATATGGATGTACATGCATTTTTATATTTCTAGGCATGTGTGTGTAAGTAGGGAATCTTGATGGAGCTTTATCTTCGCTTTCCATAGGGGGCTTCGTGACTCGCAGATCGCCGCTAAACCCTAAACCATAACGCAAAACCCTCAACCCTAAACCCGTCCGGCCCTGTCCTGTAACGGGTTTGGGGATGCTTTGGGTTCAAGGGCAAGAAAGTTGGAACAGCATTCTCCTCGTGCCCTCAAACACGGGATCCCAGCACGAATCGTCCTAAGGTTCCAACTTGCTGGGTTCACTCGACCAGCCCCTGAACCGCGGCATCGCAAAAGTCAAACCATGTAAGCCGTGACTTGGCTCTAGGGCATGTCAGACAAAATCCACAACGGGATCCCGATGATGAGGGTCCTTAAGCAAGGTACCACTCTTATTGAGAACTGACCCCTCTCAAGCAAACAAAATTTACTACTTTAGGCGCTTTTTGATGGACTCCCGCAGTCAGCCCCCTATCTGCCTCTACAGAATTTCGTTTCAGCAGGCATTCAACACGACTCTGAGAAACCGAACATCTCAAACAGCGGCCAACTTAAATCTATGCGTAGATCCCCAAAATACCCATAAGTATATACCATAATGATACTGGACCCTTTGGGTAACCCGTCTGCAGGCCTCTGTAGTCTCTTCAAAATCTTCCAGGCAGCAGAGGCAGGTTTGCAGGTCTCCAACCTTCGGTCTGCCGCGAGGGTTCTTTCTCAGCTTCACCGTCCTTTTCACGCCTACTTATCGGGTATCATGGGGAAGTAAAGGTTAAGTCTTTTTGGTTATATAGGGATCATATAGCTACTTATCGGGTATCATGGGGAAGTAAAGGTTAACCTTCTTTTTGATTATATAGGGATTATATAGGGACTATACTACCCAGAAAAGGTTAAAGGTTACCTACTCTACTGCTAGGGCAAAGCTCCGAACATTCGTTCTATGGTTGATGATCTAAACCCTGCATTACCTTAAGGACCCTAAACTATAGGAACTATGGTATATTCCTTATTATGGGTAATGCAGGATTTATATCATCAACAGTATGGGGCTTCGGGTCCCTTTAGCGTTTGGGCTTCACAGCTCCGGGGCTGTAGGGTTGAAGTGCTCCGGGCTACTGTGGGCATGTCGTTTCGAGGCTGAGGGCTGGTTGCAGGAATTGACGGCTTCCTGCTTTCCGCTGTTGCTTTTGGAGCTGTAGAATGTTGAAAAGTTCGGTGCTCTCACGGTTTTGGGCTTTTCGGGGTGTGTTCGCACTTGAAGCTGCTCGGATTAGTCAAAGGTTTATGGAGTTCGGCCTTATGTCAGGCCTGAAGGCTTGAGATGGATCCCCATACGCTTGCCCTGAAGCCTAAATCATAAACTCGAGGCCCCCAAGCCCTAAAACCTTGAACTGCAACACTCGTCATATCGCAAACTGCTCCAAAACCATCGATGGCACTCTCAAAGCACCACCCAAATCTCAGCAGAAAACAGGTAGAGCCCTCATAATTTAAGGTCCTCCTAAACCCAGTAACCTAAGTTAAGAGCTAAATCTGAGAGCCCTAAACCCTAGAGCACTAAACTGCAAGAAAGGCCCAGTGGCCAAAGTGGGAGCCACGAGCGGTGTGGGCGCTGAGGGCGTCCAGCTGATCGGGTCGCCGGCCTTCACCTCTCTCGACCACAACAAAAAGGGCTAAAGGGAACTCCAGAAAGTTGGAATATGGATTAATGGTAGGATCCCCTATAATTTACCTTAAAGGGGTTACGATAATGATATTCCAACTTTCTGGCTTCTACTGTATGGAATCCATATCTCTAGTGCCTTCGAACATGTTATCGGGATTCATAAGTAGCCTTCTCAGTTAGAACCGGATTTTGTATATAATGTAGTATAGTAATGGTAAGGAACCCTAAGGAAGACGCACTGGTATTGATGTTGGCGGCTATACTGTGAGATCTAGACCTATACGGATTCATCAGGCTTGTCACTCTATAGGGCTTCATCGTCCTTCCGGTTGTTTAGAGGGATTTGTCTATACAGCTTCACATAATAGCACATGGGATGTATGAGACTTTTCGTGGCTTACAGGATCTATAGGGAGTTATGAGGTCATCAAGCCTCAGATTCGAAAGAGTAATGGTTGCAAGCTGATTCCTTTTGTCCGTTCTTGAAGGGCCGTTTGCCGTCCATCCAGCAAAGGGGCCAGCAAAAGTAGGGATTTGGAGGGTGGAGGGCTTTCGGATTAGAGTTCTGGGTTCAAGCATGATAAACAGGGTACTGTTCAGGTGATAGGCTGTCCCGCGCAGAGCTGAAGGCGCAACAGCGAAGTGAATTAACATCTCCACCCGTGAGATTTCGACTAAACCCTAAGCCCCTAAACCCTAAACCCCTAAACCCTAAAACCCTAAACCCTAAAACCTTAAACCCTAAACCCCTAAACCCTAAAACCTAAAACCCTAAACCCCTAAGCCCCTAAAATTTCGAGTTGAGGCTTCCAAACAGCACCCTCTGGCGCCTCGAAACTGTAGAACTCGGGGCTCCGTTGGCGCTGATCGAAGCGACACGGCGCCCAAACACAGCTCACTTCCTACAGGGCCGTGCAGCGGTCTCAACATCTAGCCATGTATCTACCTGTCTATCTATCTATACGTGTGGTTGTCAATATTATAGTCTCTTTTTGGGTATCCTAAATATTAGGTGCCGTATTGTAATAAGGACCCAAAAAGGGACCCTAATATTGACAACCACCCATATGGATATAGATGCCGATATAGGCAGAGATGCAGATATAGATACAGACATCGATTAGATGTCGATATTCGATATAGATACAGACTAACAGTACAAGAAATGGATAAAGATGCTGAATGTGGCTTGATAGGGTCTTGTAGGTTAATTTTTGGGTTCTGTAACGGCCACGAGAGGGTTCTACAGGATCCATGACTTCCTCTCCCGACCGAGACGAACCAATTTTTCGGATGGTTTAGGCTTCGGGCTTTATTCAAGGATTATGATTATGGCTCCGGGTGCAAGCACAGAGTATGCTATATGGGTAGCTCTATAAACTGCTTAGGGTCCCGTTTCAGGTCTCCCAAAATAGTACGGCACCCTTGGAGGAATGACCCTAAAAGCGATTCAAGTTTAGATGATGGGAGGCCAAAAGGGGGGTTTAAGATTCTTGGGGTACGGATTCCTTAACATGAACCCTATTATGGGAACCCTAATCCCTACTAAACCCCCATAGGCTAAAACCCCTTTTGGCCTCCTATGATTAGAGAACTACCTTTTTGACACAAGTCGGCTCCTTTGGGCATTGGCTCCCTGCGCTGTTTCTCCGGCGCTGCTCCAGATGCAGACCAACGGCCAGCCTCGGTCTACACATGAGCGGGTAGCTTGATGGCTCCGGTTTTGGGTAGTTTAATGGTTCCGATCAAGGGTGGTTTAATGGTTGCGGTTTAGGGCTTAGGGTTTCATGTTTAGGTACTTCGGTTTCGGGCTTCGGACCTTCTTATTTACCTCTCTCTGTGTAGCTTTCCGTGTATCTACACCTCTCTCCCTAGCACTCCTCGTCGCGCAAAAAGCAATCCTTGCAAGTGCAGCCAGGCTAGGGCACCGGAAAACGGATGAACATCATGTGAGAGATGGAAGCAAGCTGCAAGTATTGGTGTCCGAGAGTGAGCTTAGAACACTGTGAGGCTGTCTGGTTTGAGGTTTGGGTGCACCTTCTGTTTAAAAAAGGGTCGGAAGAATTCGGAATAGCATCCTGCATAGTACCTCGTCGTCATAGTATGATGTACCTCCCCAAACCCTTGTTCTAAAGGCCCCCAGACTGGTAGGGAATGCGAAAGCTCTTCCACCCGTCGAAAGCCGATCGGCTGGACTTGAGCCCCAGGCCCTCTCCGGGCATACCAAATCTTCATGGTTTAGGATTCAGGGTTAAAAACTCATGGTTTAGGGGTTTCGGTTTAGGGTTTAGGGCTTTAGGATTCAGGGTTTAAAACTCATGGTTTAGGGGTTTAGGATTCAGGGTTTAGGGCTTTAGGATTCAGGGTTTAAAACTCATGGTTTAGGGGTTTAGGATTCAGGGTTTAAGGTTCATGATTTAGGAGTTCGGGTTCAGGATTGAGGGTTTAATCAAGGCCGTAGCAGCTGTCTTCACTGTACAAGTGAGAGTTTTCCTTTCGGGGAAGTTCGTATGTCCTGCAGTTATCTTGGGATCTTGTAGACTTTGGAGTCAGAAGGTTTAGGGCTCTGAGAGCCTTGGCCTGGCGTCTTTAGAGATTAAGGCTCCGGAGCTTTGAGTTCTCGGGATTTCGGTTACAAGGGATCAACTGGGTGGTTGTCAAGATTAGGGCCCCTTTTTGGGTACCCTAAATATTAGGTGCCGTGTAATAGTAAAGGGAGCCAAAAAGGGACCATAATTTTGACAACCACCCAACTAAACGCGAAGAAGGCGTTCTTCGTGCAGCACAGCCAGCAGGACGATCGCGTACCATTCGAAGCAGAGCAGTATCGTCTTCTCTGCCGCCTCTGCTCAAACACACAGGTTCCCATCCGGTGGACACCCACCCTGATTCAACTCCAGCACTCACAAGGGGTGCAAGTAATACTTTCTTTATGGTCTTTGATACTGAAAAAAGACTCCAAGTGCTAAAGTAAGGACACCCCGGACCCTCGAATCCTAAATCCAACAACTAGCCCGAAACGAAACCCTCCCCAAATCCAAAACCCTCAGCTTTAACTCAGTACTTACGTGGGCGGTTGTCAAAAATATAGTCCCTTTTTGGGTACCTTACATCATGGGTGCCGTTTTACATTAATGAGCCAAAAAGGGACCCTAATTTTGACAACCACCCACGTGCATCAGACTCCTGATGTCCTCGGTAAGCACCGCAGAAGCCTTAAACCACTTGTCCTCCCACGCCTGTTTGCAGCCTAAACCCGAAATAAACCTAAACCCTCCAAAAGCCCCATTTAGACACGCAAAGATCGCGACAGACAGCAATCCCTAGGAACTGAACCCGAAACCCTCGATCCAACGTCCTAGATCACCCTTGAAACTCGAAACCCCGATGCCTAATGTAGGGCCCTTCTGTTCATTAGTACAGGTTTTGGGGGATACGTACTATGTTAACAACAGGGACCCCGAAGAAATGTGAGCATCAGTTGACCGTACTTGTTCTTATACCCCAAAATCTAAACCCTAAGCCCTAAAGAATTCTGTATTTCTCACCTTCCTGCTTCTTCTGCACTCCAAAAGTGCTGCCTGCACCGACGCCCAGGAGATCACCCAGGAAGAGAGGAAGAGAAAAAAGGCCAAAGCTACCATCCTGCGCCTCATCCACCTCCAGGGGCTTCTACTTTTTACCGTCTAGAGGCCTAAGCAATTCGAACATGGTTTTGGTGTGCATTGATTGTATTATAACCGTGTTCAGAAAACCTAAGGGGTAACAACAATCAGCTCACAGGGTTCCCTAAACCCTAAACCGGGGATTAACGGCTTTGGGGAACCAGAGGGTTTCGGGGGTTTGGGTAGGGGTTTAGGTGCCCCGAGCCCAAAGCTTGAGTGATTTGCTGAGGGGCTTGTTCCATGGTCTACACTGAACTTAGACCCCTAACAACAATTTTAATTTTAGCTGCTTCGGGCTCCTTAATTCAGGGTTTAGGTTGAAGGTCTAAGGTTTTTCAAGTCAGGGTTAAGTCGCTTACGGTTCTGCTTGAGAGTTTGCAGAAGATGCTTCCGAGTCTTCAGTCTAGCCCTCAAGGTTCCTAGGTTGCTCGCATTCGAAAGCGGCCCGGGGGGTTTTGCTCTAAGGGGTCCCTCAACCCTGAATAACCTACCTTTTTAGGGTTCCTTATTATGATTTCTTTATGTAAGTCCTTAAGAATGTAGGTGTAGGTTCTTCGGTGTTAAGGTCAGGGTTCCGGTCGAACGGCTCTCGCAACGGCAATTCATATGTCGGAACATCACGCCCTTATGAGCGTTGCGTACCTATGGAAAGTCTCCGCCATACAGGCTCACAGCAGCTGACAGTCCCCGAAACTCACCCAGAATATGCCAAGACCGACA